CTAGTGGTATTACTTGTACATAAATCATTTGATTGTTGAAAGGGCATTTCAAAAGTTCTCCACAGCAGAAATTATTCTTGCGTGTACATTTTTAAATTCCTCCCCCAAAGTTTCCAATTATTTTAAGACAGTTTGTAAGTTAATGTTCGTACAAATAATGTTGCCTGAATCTTTAAAAATCAGCGTTCAAAGATTCAGTTTTAACATTTTTTACAATAACTGAATGCTAATATCTAAAACAGGCTGAAAATAATTCCTCAACCAATCAATGAATTTACTATACACAGCTTATGACAATAACTATACCTTATGTCTGATAAATACAAGCACATTTTGGGGTTAAATTAATCAGAAAAAGTTACAAAAAAAGAAGAATACAAAAGACAACATGGTTCGCTAAAAATATTGTAATGACAAATGGAGTATATGTTGGTTTGAATTGAATTGAATTGAAAATTAGTATAAATCATAAATTAGTCAATTATTGAATACAACATACATGTACATATGCTGTATCACAAAGATATCACATTTTATGTGACACTACATGTAGTAAACTTTATAGATGTACTGAGTTATATTTATGAATCTCATCCAACAACAACAAAATCTAAAAGACATGCCTCAACATTCGCTTCTACGCTTCTCTCAACAATTATTTTATAAAAGTAACAGAAATCAATACAAGTGTCAATGCTACATGAATGCTACTCATTTATGCTTGCAATGCACATACTATGAAACTGCTTATTCAAAGAAAGTAGAGCAAATCCATTACAAATTTACTATATTGTATCTATAATATGCATTTTCCAATAACTGAACAGCCTTAAAAATTGCTTTAACAATTAGGTCTTAATATTATTTTTCTCACACAAATTTTAGACATCTTTTGAGGACAATTAGATGTCAAACATGTTTGTTTCATAAAAAAGCTTCCAGGTTTCTGTGTTATGTGATGTTTTTGACAAAATACATCATCATATCCACTATTTTCTATCTTGTTTTTAGTGAGTCAAGTGGTGATAACTAATACAGATTAAAATATATATCTAACTTGGCAGCTAAATGATTGAAATTATTGCAAAAGCTTCAGCAGTTAAGAATGCAGTCACTGTGGATGTTTTGATGTCAGATTATACAAACTACTGATGTAATCAGATAATATCAAACAC